TCACACAAATAAGAAGTACAATATTTGGGATATAGAGCCAGATAGTGGTGGTATATATCTTTAATGCCAGCCCTTGGGTGGCAGAGGCTGGTGAACCTGAGTTTGAAGCCAGCCTCTTCTACAGAGTGAGTTCCAAGATAGCCAGGGCTACACAGAGAAAGCCTGTCTTGAAAAAGGAAAAAAAAAAAAAAGAAGAAGAAAAAAAAGATAAAGAATAAAGGGATATTGAGTGACTTTCTATTTTTTAATTTTTGTTTATCTCTTACAAAATGAAGCATCTCAAGAGACCACAACATTTTTGCTATGTCCCCAAGTCCCAGTCTTTTGCCTGCTTTCAGATCTGCAGACCCATACATAAGTGGGTATCAAGATTAGGGTATTTGTAAGCTCCGAGTCAGTGGATGCAACCAACTGCTGATGGAAAGTATTCACGGGGGAGGGGGAGGCTTGGGCCTGTACTGAATCGTTGTTCCATCAAAGACGGAGACTTTTATTTAGGTTTTTGTTTACTTTGATCTGTTGAGCAGCTGCCCTGTTTACTGACGGGGCAGCTGGGAGGGGAACACCCAGTTCTGGAGCCTCCTCCAGAATTGAATGTGAAGAGCCCAACCTTCAAGTCTTGACCTCAGAAAATAAGTCAATTGCTTGGGGTCTCACAGCAGGTGTAGCCGGCTGGAGTCAGGTATGTCTAAGCACTGCAGTTGATGGGGTCGCCTGCATTAAGAACCACTTTCCAGGCTAGACTGTTTTAGACCATGCTCCTCAGCTGAGGAGAGCATGGACTGCCTGGGTTAAAGCTACATTTTGTACTGTGGGTAGAATGGCAAAGGAAAAAGGTGACTTATTGTTAGGCTTGGGGCCTGAGAGACACTGCTGCCTGTTTCGTGGCCATCTTTGCTTCCTTTTCAAAGTTATCATTTCCTATGACTGGAGCTGTTTGTTTGCTGTGTATCTGCGCCAGAGGCACTCTGCAAATGTTTACATTGTCCTGGGCAATTCATGCAGGGTTGTATGCAGGCTCTTTTAAGTCAGTATGGGGGGTGGGGTGAGGCACCTGAGCTACTCAACCCTCTTTGCAGGAGCCATGTCCCCTGTTGGGGAGGGAACCATGACTACTTTCAGTGCCTGACCCTTCCCACCCCCTACCTTCAGACAAAACTGAGAAATGGCTTGGGGCCAGCCATCAGTAGTTTAACAAACCCTCTGGATCTAGATGATTCTTCTGCGTGGTACAAACTGGAATCAGCTGGTAAGTCTGGCATGGGACCCAGAGCTTGCATTTCTGATTCCTTCCTTGTGGATTCTGGTCAGAGGAACACTTTTGAGAGGCTCGGGCTCCTGCAAGAGGCCCTCGGGAGACTTTGACTCCAGTTCTGGGAGGTCAGAGAATAGTGAGAGGAAAGTGTGGAAGGAAGCTTCAGCCTTAGCTCTCGGCAGACGGGAGCTGCACCTGTCTCCTCCCAACAAATGTGACAATGGGTTTTTGCCTTTTGCTCTTAATCCTTTGTGATCCCCTCTGCTTTTATTTTGTATCCAGTTTTCCAGTTAGTAACCAGAACAATGGCTTCTCGCATCCCTACGTTTCTCACTTGTAAGTTTCTGATCTACATGTTTTCGGCTTTGCAGATTACAGGTTTTTTTTCCTTTTCCCTTCCCCTTGTTTTTGAGGTTTGAGTTAAATGATCCAGTTTTCCTCCTATCTGCGTCACCATTTAGCTTTGAGTTACTGGACCTTAGTTGACCACCTGAGGGTTATTGTCATTGCTAACCCCGGTCAGGGAACATGTGATAGATGTTGCTTTCTGTTTTGCTTCAGACAGCGAGTGCAAACTGCCCCGCCTAGGTGGCTGATAAGTCTGCTGAAATGAGGGCCAAGGTAAAATCCTGTGAGAAGAGGCTGAGGGGACGCCTGTAGCCTATAGAGAAACAGCAGGGCCTTCGAGGGATGGGGCACCAGAGTAGACGGACCAGACAGACTATGGGTTTCAGGTGTAGACCAGAGATCAGGGAGGTAGTAGTTTGCCTCAAATGGAGACGAGAAATGAAAAGTAAAAATGGAGCCACCAGTAGGGCAGCATCAAGGACAACAGCCAGCTCAACCTGACTCTTCTTTTAGATGCCCATGCCCGAGTGGACTTCCAGGTAGAGGGAGCCCCATAGGGTTAGCTCTGTGGTCAGGTTGTCTGGGCTAGCCCCAAAAAAGAACTCCTATTCTTTTTGACTAACAGTTGTCAATTTCTCAGTCAGGGGTTGGAATCTGCCTGCTTGTGGGAGTATGTGGGCAGGTGGCTTTACCCGCTGAGCCACCACCTTGCTGGCCCTGGGCAGGTGCTTCAGTTGGGTCATTTCCAGATCTGTAACAAGAACCTTAATGGCAATGACTTTGGGAACAGTGAAGTGAGGTACCTCAAGGGGCAAGGTAAGGAACCCTTCCCACACATCTGGCAGACCGCTCTCAGAGTGTAGAGGGTCAGGGGGAGTTTCTACTTTGGGCTGAGACCAGAAGGGATTACCTTCGAAGCCTTTTCTGCTCTAACAGTCTCTTCAGATCCTGTCCCGTGGACTCGGGGAGTGGGTGATAAGGTGGAGGTTTTGCCCAGCTGCTGGGGGTTCTCAGTGGTAGAGACTGGTGGGAGCAGGTTATCTGAAACCACAGAGCCGGAGCCAGAAGTTAGCAGAGCCGAGGTCAGCCTTATCACAGAGCACCAGAAACAGTGGAAGTCAAGGTTAGCGGTGGGGAAAGTAAGGAATGGGCCTGTCTGGGTAAGTGATGAGGATGGAGGTTGGTCGTCACCAACCGTCACCTTTCCTTGAAGCCAAACAAAGTGCCTGGGAGGACTGGCTGGATTCAAGGACTCAGCTAGTGGCCAAAGGGCCGTTGTCTGCCATTTCTTAAAGGTTTTGTTACATCTGAAGGCAATTCTGGAGGCTCAATAACAACCTGGAAGTGACTCTGTGTGTGTTAGTGTGTGTGTGCACGTGCATGCACATGTATGTGTGTGACTGCACACATTTGTGTGGGGCATCATTCCTCCAGAGCTGTCCACCTTTTTTTTTTGAGACGGTTTTGTTACTGACTTAGAACTTACCAAGTGACTGAGTTTGCTGGCTAGTGAGCTCCAGGGACTTGCCTGTGTATACTTCTCCAATGTTGGGAGTACAGGCGAGCCACCAAGTGTAGCTTTATATTTATTTTTTGTAAGTTTTGAGGATTGAACTCAGGTTCTCATAAGGCTGACCTTGGCAGTCCTGGAACTGTAGACCAGGCTGGTCTCAGATTTGAAGATATGCCACTCAAAAAATAAGGTGGACAGCTCTGGAGGAATGAAGGAAGCCCTACACGATTTTGTGTGTGGTCGCACACATACATGTGCGTGTGTAGACACACACACACTTCCAAGAATATTATCAAGCCTCCAGAACCACCTTTTCTGACTGAGCACTCTCTATCTCTAGCCCACAGAAATGAGTTTTAAAGACTAGAGAATGATTTCCACTTAGATGTTTATGTTTGTAAAAATCCACCAGTTTCAAATAAATCAGTTTTGTTTTTCTGCTCACCAGTGACCAAACAACTGAGAAGTAGTTGTGAAGTGAGCTGCCTGAGGCGGGTGCTGGGATTCAAACTTGGGTCCTCTGGAAGGACTTCGAGGGCTACAGACCATTCGGCCGTCTCCAGCCATCTCCAGGCCTCTTAGTGACTGTCTCAGCTGGCAGTGGTTTCTGAACAAGTTGCTCTGTTGCCAGTTTTTTTCCTTCTTTCACAGCTATGTGCAAAAGAAGTCTACAACAGTTAGGTCAGATACTATACGTACATGTATATCATTTGTGAAGAACGCTAGGTGTGGTGGTGCATGCCTTTACTTTAGTCCAAGCACTCAGGAGGAAGAGGCAGGCAGAGTTTGAGACCAGGCTGGTCTACAGAATGAGTTCCAGGACAGCCAAGGCTACACAGAGAAAACCCTGTCTCAAAAAAACAAAAACAAAAAAAAATGAATAAATTAAAAATAGAATAAAAATGTACCCCTCCTGATTTAGCTGTTTGGTAAATATAGCTTTATTATTATTTATTTGTGGGTTTTTTGTTGTTGTTTTTGTTTGTTTGTTTGTTTGTTTGGTTTTTTGTTCTTGAGACAGGGTCTCTCTCTTTGTGGCCCTAGGTGTCCTGGAACTGGCTTTGTAGACCAAGCTGGCTTCAAACTCACAAAGATCCTCCCACCTATGCCTCTCAAATCCTGGATTTAATAGTTTTGTACCACATACCCTACTTTTTTTTTTTTTTTTTTTTTTTAAATTTATTATACCTTCACTTTCTGTTTTTAACTCGGAGGCAGAGGCCTGCAGATCACCATGAGTTTGAAACAGCCTGGTCTTCATGGCAAGTTCCAGGCTGGTTGATTTTTATATATAGTAAGATCCTGTTTTTGTTGTTTATCTATTTGTGTTTGTGCAATCAAACTGACGTCACTGGGTTTGTTGGCAAACTTACCTTTACCCAGTGCGTCCTCTGACTGGACCACTGTACCTTTTAAAATTGTATTCTTTCTGTAGGCTTGATTCGCCTTAATTACCAAAGGATACAGCATTGATCTTTGCTGAGTCAAAGTTTAATGAACTTTTTCTTTTTAATCTACTTCACACATGCTAAGCAGGCGCTCTACCACTGAAGTCGACTCTTTTGAAGCTCAGTTTTTTTGGGGCTGGCATATGAAATGATGGATTTCAGTATGGCGTTTTCACGTCTTCACGCGTTAGTCTTACTGGTCCCCTTTCTCAGTGCCTTTCCCTGCTCCCCTGCACCCTCTTGGTACTCCCTTTCTTCTCTCCAACAATTCCCTCTTCTGTGTCCTCTTGTCTTCTCCCCCTTTGCTTAGAGCTCGAGATGCCTGTCTTCCCTCTCCTGGTCCTCTTCCTACATCCATGTCGTGTGAATATGGCTCCCTTCTTTTTCATTTCTTCTGTGAAGTGCAAACATTGACAGTTGCCCTCCTTCCTTCCAGGAACCTCTGCAAATATTCTCACGATGTTCTGTCGGAACAGAACTTCCAGGTCCTGAAGAATCATGAGCTCTCTGGGCTTAATCAAGAGGAGCTGGCCGTCCTCCTGGTCCAAAGCGACCCTTTTTTCTTGCCTGAGGTAGGTCCTGGTTCTCACTTTAAACACCAGGCGAGAGTATTATTTGCAAGTCAGGCATGCTGCTGTACACCTTTAAACCCAGCAATCTTGGGAGGCAGGCAGATCTATATGAGTTTGAGGCTAGCCTTGTCTACGTAACAAGTTCCAGGCCAGCCAAGGCTACCTGGTGAGACCCTGCCTCAACAAATAAATGAAGAATTTGGGTCCATTAGGATGCCAGGAACTCCACTGTGAACAAGGATGGGTTGAAGGCGTGGTGTAGCTGGACTGGTTGAGGCTTTAAATTGGGGTAGCCTTGGAATAGAAGCTGGAAAGATGCCTGAAAGATGCAGGCACAGGTTGTGTCACTGTACCAGATACTCCTACCAAAAATTCAGTGATTAAGAAAATATACTTCAGCCGGGTGGTGGTGGCGCACGCCTTTAATCCCAGCACTTGGGAGGCAGAGGCAGGCGGATTTCTGAGTTTGAGACCAGCCTGGTCTACAGAGTGAGTTCCAGGACAGCCAGGACTACACAGAGAAACCCTGTCTCAAAATATATATATACACACTTTAAGCTTTTTACTCCTTAATAGCCTCATCAAGGGTCAGCAGGCTACAGCCCAGAGGCCAAACCTGGGCTGCTGCCAGTCTAGAAATAAAAGTCTATTGTAACACAGCCGTGTGGACGTGTTTACAAATTTTCTGGTGCTGTTTCTCCCCTCCAGGGGTCAGGTGAGTAGTTGCAACCGAGACTGAATGGCCAAAAGAGCCTAAAATGTTTACTGTGGGCTGTGACAGAAGTGTGGAGCCTCTGGGCCCTGCCTGGACACGGGCAGGCAGAGAAGCTGCATGGTGGGGCAAAGGGTCCAACACCATTTTGCAAGACTCATGCCAGTGGGTCCGCTCTGTTGTCTTCAGAATATGGCTTCCATCTCTTACTGCAGGGATTTCTCACTGCTCACCACTTTTTAGTTGGTGGGATTGTACAAGAGAAGTAGAAGCCAAACAGCATACCCTTTAGAAAACTGGCCATGGTGTGTCGCACATCTGCTCACATCTCATTGGCCAGTGCTTATCACATGGTCATATTAGCTGAAAGTGAGGCTGAGAAATGAAGTTTCTGGCGGAATGGCTGTCTGTCAAGGGCTGCCATTACTAGAGGAAAGACGGAGATTGTGGAATATTATGAAGTCTCATCTGCATAGGCTTTTGGAATGGAGAGTCAGTTGATGTTGCTCAAAGGACCATGTCTGACCCGAGAAAAACCTTTGAGTGGAGAATCCCTGAGTGTATCCACCGTACAAAGTCAGTACCAGCGTCACACAGAACCGGAGACGGATCAAGGCCGCGGGAAGGGGCAGAAGACCGAGAGGGAGGCTGAGCCACATCCCAAGGGGTGGAAGACAGGAAGGCGGAGCAACACAGGAAGGAGTGCAAGGGAAAAAGAGATGCGAAGCTCCCAAGAAGGTTGGAGTTCTGTTAGATAAGACAAGCTAGCCAATGGAGATTCCTTGAGGATTCGACTGTTTGAGGGAGATTTAAAAACTCGGCGCGACAGGTGATTTTTGAGGTGTCCACTGAGCTCCGAGAGCTCCGAGGGCGGGGCGTCAGAGTGTGTTGATGGGGAGAGGACGCATTCTCTCCTTTCACAGCTCCAAGCCTTCCGTAGGTGCTTAGAATGCTCTGCTCCGTTTCTCTCTCTTTCCTCCCTCCCCTCTCCATCTCTTTCCCTTCTCTTCCCTAGAGTGGAATATTCTCAGTGCCCTTAGCATCCACCAGCCTCTCGACTCCGCCTCTAACTTAAGCTGTGCAACCTTGGACAAAGCTTCACACCCTCTGGGCATCATTGCATCTGTGGTTTGTTTTGTGACAGTTGAGATTTAGCAGCGCCTGCAAGCGTCAGCTACCACGTGAAATTCTGAATAAAGCATAAAGCAGCGACAAGATACACTCCCCTGTCCTCAGAAAAATTCTTGGGTGTAAACGTAATTTTTTGGAGGGTTTCTCGCCCTTCTGAGACTAAACATCTTCATCTTTTAGATGCAAGGTCAGGCTAATCACTAACCATTTCTTCATCTAGTGGCTCAGACACGTGCCTCATACTTCTTACAATACATCTTACACTTTGTCACTCTGCCTCCCAACAGGTGTTAGGCAGACAGACAGAACAAATATTTTCCTTCTGCTGTTGAGAAGGAAACAGAAAGTAGAAGGTCACTGGGACCGGGAGGTCGCCCAGCTGCTTCTAGGGCCTTGACCTTTAAAGCAGCCTCTGTCAGCCCCGCAGCCACGTGGTCCAATTGCACCATCCCTGTCTTTACTCTAGTTCTGTAGAGCTATGTGTGCAGATGCGTTTGCTTAGACCAGTGGTTCTCAACCTTCCTAACACTGGACCCCTTTAATGCAGCTCCTCATGTACGTGACCCCCAACCATAAAATTATTTCATGGCATAACTGTAATTTTGCTGCTGTTATGAATCTTATCCTGATATGCGACCCTCCAAAGGGATCATGACCCACAGGTTGTTTAGATAGTGGGTAAGAATTTCCTTACTGAGTTGGTTATAGTGATGTGTGCGTGCAATCCCAGCACTTGGGAGGACGGGGAAGGAGAATAGTGAGTTGAAATCTAGTCTGTGCTACATAATGAGTCCTTGTGTCAAAAACCTGAAAACAAGGCTGAACAGCGTAGTGGTGTGTGCACCTTTAATTCCAGTTAGCAAACAAAGTAGGGAGTGGTGTGCACACCTTTATCCCAGTTCCTGGGAGGCAGAGGCAGGTGGACGTCTTCAGAGTTCAAGGAAGCTGGAGTGATGACTCAGAGGTTAAGAGGTCCTGAGTTCAATTCCCAGTAACCACATGGTGGTTCAGTCATCTGTAATGTGATATGGTGCCCTCTTCTGGCCTTTAGTCATACACGTAGGCAGAACGCTGTATACATAATAAATATTAAGTAAAAAAGTAGTTCACCACCCCCCTTCTTCTTCCTACTCCCCTACCCCTCACATACAAATCATTCGAAAATGTCCTGTTCTGGCTATCAGAGACAAATGACAAAATCCCAAAGTTGCAGATAAACACACACATGTCCTTTCAACTGTAGAGTAAGTTAAGATCCAAACTAGACGTTGTCTTCGGGGCTCCCTTAGGATGTCCTGTGTATAGCTCACCATCTGAGTTTGATTCTTCCAGGAATTATCAAAGTCATCACTATTTTTTCCTCTTACATTTCTTTTCTTTTAAAGGCAAGGTTTTGCACTGAGCTTGTGGTCCTCTTTGCCTCAGCCTCCTGAGCACTGGGTTACAGATAGGCACCCATCCTCCATCAGATATCACCTGTTCATTCTTCTTCGGACTCTTCTATCCCCAAATAAGCCACCAGTTGAACCCATCTCTTCAGCCTTGGGTGTTGCGTGCTTGTTTCCCCGTGGCACGCCTACTTTCTATGGGACGGGGCCTGTGCATTCCTTAACAGGCGTGGCAGGCAGGTCCAGATGTGCTTACCCCATCATTCTTTCTTTCTTCTCTAGATATGCAAGAGTTACAAAGGAGAGGGCCGCAAACAGATCTGTGCGCAGCCACCACCGTGCGAGAGACTTCACATCTGTGAGCACTTCACCCGGGGCAACTGCAGTTACGTCAACTGTCTCAGGTCTCACAACCTGATGGACAGAAAGGTGTTGGCCATCATGAAGGAGCATGGGCTGAGTTCTGACGTGGTCCAGAATATCCAGGACATTTGCAACAACAAGCATACCAGGAGGAACCCCCCTGGCACGAGAGGTATGCCCTTTTCCTTTTTAATTGTGCGAATTTGCAAATAAACAGAAATGGCTGTGGGGCATGGTGGTGAACGCCTTTCATCCCAGCACTCAGGAGACAGAAGTTGGTGGATCTCTGAGTTTGAGGCCAGCCTGGTCTTTGAGCTCTAGGACAGCTAGGGCTACACAGAGAAACCTCATCTCAAAAAACAATCAAGCAAACAAACACAAAAAGAAGAAAGAAAAACTGCAAGGAAAGAAATCTGCCCATAAAATCTCAACTTCACTATCTGCATGCACCACTTTACTACAGTTGAAGTAATGATGGGTATACAGTATTACAAGTGTCTCTGTCCCCTCATTTTAAAAGAGTTTATGTTATAGTCTGGTGCGGGTGGCACACACTTTTACATGTAACATACCAGCACTCAGGAGGCAGAGGCAAGTAGACCTCTGAGTTGGACAGCAGCTTGTTCTACAGGGCTAGTTCCAGGACACCCAGGCTACAGCAGAGAGAAACCCTGTCTCAAAGAAAATAAAAGTTTGCTTGGGGGTGGGGCATGTGTGCATCTGTTAATTCCAGCACTTTGGAGAAAGAGGCCAGTCTGGTCTAAATAGACTTTGTCTGAGAAGCCAAATAGTTATTTCGTTAGTTTATTTTTGTCTTTGAAGCTTTTTTTTTTTTTTTATGGGAATCAAAGACATTTTTTGAAATTCAGAAGTTACAAGCTTTGGTCCAGTTATTTAGTCTTTTTCTCTGTGTGTGCATACGCACATTTATGCACACAGATTATTTTTAATGACAACTGCTTACTTATTTTGTGTGGCATCAGAGGCTAGTTTTCAGGAGTCAGTTCCCCCTCCATCTTACAAATCCCAGGGATGAACTCAGGGTGGTGACTGGGAGCCATCTTGCCAGCCACACACATACTTTTGTTTATTTATTTTTGAGACAGAATCTCACTGTGTGGAACTAGCTGGACAGGACCTCACTATATAGTCCAGGCTAGCCTCAAACTCATACAGTTAAGCCTGCCTCCATCTCCTGAGTGCTGGGATTAAAGGCATGCTCCACAATGCACAGCTCACACTGCACATTGTGTGGTTAAAGTATATGATGTGTGGATGGATACATTGTGATATTTTACACAAGTCTATCGGCACATTCTCCAAAACTGTTCTCCTATATAATATTTTTATCTTCTTAAAAATTGTGTGTATATGTGTAGGGTGGGTATGTGCATTTGAGTGCAGATTACTGCTGGGACCAGAGGTGTCAACTGCCCCCAGAGCTGGATTTATAGGCAGGTATGGGCAACCCAACATGGCTTTGTAAAAGCAGCAAGCAGTGATCCACCTCCCTAGCCCCTTCCTTTTTGAGACTTCATAATGTCCCATATACTATGGCATCACCTCATTTTGCTTATTCAATCATTGGTTGATGGACAGTGGTTTGTTTCTATATGGTAGCCACCTCAGGAGTAACACCACCATGAGTATGGATGCTGGACCATTTCCTTGAGACTCTGCTTCTGGTTGTTTTAGGAGTATAACAAGGAGCCCATTTCTAGATCACTCTGATGTGTTGAGTGTTTTGACGAGCCGCCATGTTGTTTTCCAGAGCAGCTCTGCCATTTTCCTTCCTCAGCCTTGTGCCATTCCCCTGTCTCCAATACACACGATTCAGTTTACTTCACTCTGTTTTGCGCTTGTCTCTGTCAGAACTTTGATGAAACAACCGTCCTAAGGGATAAGAAACGGCGCCGTTTCTTAAGCATTTTCATATAACACACCGTGGTACTGATCTGAAAACTTTTGTCCTTTAATTTAATTTAAATTATATGATTGTCTTAGTTAGGGTTACTGTTGCTGTGATGAAGCACTGTGACCAAAGCAACTTGGGGAGGAAAGGGTTTGTTTATTTGCCTTACACTTGCACACACCACACTGTTCATCACCGAAGCAAGTCAGGACAGGAACTCACTCAAGCAGGACCGGAACTTACAGGCTGGAGGCTTGCTCATCTTCCCTTCCTTCCTTCCTTGTTTTTGTTAAGACAGGGTAGCCTAGTGTTCATCCATAGACCAGGCTAGCCTCAAACTCAGAGATTCACCTGCCTCTACCTTCTTTTTTTTTTTTTTTTAAAGGATTTATTTATTCATTTAATTTATGGGTACACTTTTGATGTCTTCAGACACACCAGAAGAGGGCATCCGATCCCATTACAGATGGTTGTAAGCCACCATGTGGTTGCTGGGAATTGAACTCAGAACCTCTGGAAGAGCAGTCAGTGCTCTTAACCGCTGAGCCATCTCTCCAGCCCTGCCTCTACCTTCTTAATGCTGGGATTAATGGTGTACGCCACCACTGACCAGCTGAGCCTGATTTCTTATAGAACCCAAAACTACCAGCCCAGTGGTAGAACTACCCATAATGGACTGGGCCTTCCGGTATCAATCATTAGTCAAGAGAATGACCCACAGCTGGATCTTACTGAAGCATCTTTTTCAGTTGAGATGTCCCCCACTCTCAGAAACTCTAGCTTGTGTAAAGGTGACATAAGACCAGCCAGCGCGACTATATTATTTATTTATTTTGCTTGTGTATACAGCCGTATATGTGGAGGTCAGAGGACAACTTCAGGAGTTCTCTCTCTTTCCCCAGATTAACCCCGAGTCATTCAGGCTTGGTGGCAGGCTCTCTTTCCCACTGAGCCATCTCACTGGCTCTTCTTGTCTTTGTAAAGTGGACATAGTAGAGGCCGAGTTTATGAAGAGAATAGAATCCCTGACTCTAGGATGCTGTAGTGACGCCACGAAAAGCTCATCTCCTTGTGCTTGGAGAACGACGCTTAGTCTACAGGAGACTTTGGCCCAGAATCCGACATTGCTATTCCTCACAGCAGAACTGTGAACAATGGCGGGTTCATTATTTATTAAGCTCACTTAGGGTGAGGAAACGAGTGTTGTTAGTCTTTAAGCAGCTTCCAGTCATGCTTAGAAAACCAAACAGTACTGTGAAGGTTAAACCGGAAGCCATGTTTCCGAGCCGAGCACACGCATGCCTGTCTTCCACACCACAGTGCTCTGAACAGAGGCTGTCTGCAGAGGTGGGGCTTGTGAACGAGTCACAGTGTGTGGCAAAGATCTGTATATGACTGTCGCTGTGCATTTAGACGTCGTGACGGGGTGTGTGTGGGGGGGTAATTAAGCCCGCTCAGCCAGTCAGCGGGTTCTCCAGGGCGGGATTGAGGATTAAAAAGAAAAGGCAAATAGATAACAACACTGTGGCATGAGCCCAGCCATTTCTGAGGCTGAAGTCGAGTTTAATTTTTTTCCATTTGCTTTTTATATCATTCTGGGTACATACAAAGAATACGGTCAGTCCTTAAGGCATAAAGAGTCAAGGAACAAACAGGGCAAAAATCAAGGCAATAAACAAAGTCCCGTGGTCACCATGCTTAGGAGTTTATCAGGATGATCCAGATTCAAGGAATAGTATACATTCCTTGGCTGTATTTGCCTTGAGCCTACTTCGATGTCCCAGCCCGATATCAAATTCCTGCCAAATTCCTAGAAGCAGCCCCAAAAGCTCTCCACAGGGGAGGCTTGCTTTTGCTACAATACTGTTAAACCCTTTTCTCTACCAGGACAGTACACACATGTTCCTCATAAGCATACAGACACTACCCCACCTCCATCCTCACCTTTCAAATACCTTCCCACAGCAGACATCACGTGTGTACATACCACACCAGACTTCACACTCTGGGTCACTCCCTCTGTCTTCTCTGCTTCCTAGCAGGTGTGACTTTTCTAGAGGGAAGATGCTGCTTCATCAGTGTCTCTAGATTTTTTTTTTCCTCTTCAAGAATTACAATGTAGGGTAGGCTAGCCTAAAACTTGATGTTTAGCCAAGGCTGGACTCCCGTCTTAGCATCGTAAGCACTGGAATTATAGGCATGAGCCAACCCATCTGCCTTCAATTTCGACTTTTCGTAATAAGTTTGGGCACTTGTTGTGGTAAATGTTAATTGGGGTTTCTACCCCACCTTAAATCATTTAGTTTCCAAATACAAATCCTTTATGTTTATAATAAGCCTTAAAAGCACTAGAGCTGGAGATATCAACCCTCTGTGTTCTCTGTGCTGTTTTGTCTGTTTCCCTGTCAATATCCCTGAACTATCACCATGTTCCACCTGGGCCGCTCCTACTTCAGCAGGCCGGCCCTCATGGCCGTGCGCTCATGATCCACCTACTCCTTCTCCTCTTTCTTCTCCTCTCAGTCTCTACTCAGACCCCAAGCCTGGGACACTAAGCCCCGCCCACCTCTCTTCCACCCAGCTGTAAGCATCTTTATTCAAACAGTAGTTTTAGATTAGGAATTAAGGTTTTGCAGAACAAAAGCTGGCATCCATGAGAATTCACTGTCTTGAGGCAACTAGGCCCTTAGCAACAGACCAGGCCTCAAGAGGCACCAAGGGAGCTAGAGGGAGAAGCCTGGAAGGTCTGTGGTTAGGCGAAGTCTTAGCTTGAGTCTGCAGTCGATTACTGTTTGGTTTCAGTGTTAGAAGGGCCTATTCAGGAACCCAGATCGCAATGAGTGACGTCTCTGAGTTGTAGACATGTTCCTCTCCTTGTCTACATTTCAGCTGTCAGTCACTGTAGTAATGAACCTCTCCTTGTCTGCATTTCAGCCGTCAGTCACTGTAGTAATGAACCTTAACCCAGAACTAGAGTCTAGAGAACACCTCACCTGGGGTCTTGGAGACTGGAGAACTCTCTGAGTTTCAGGAGAGGCCAGAGGAGCTTTGGGGTCCTCCCTTGTCTTAGCCACAGACCGCTGTTTGTGGACTCTGCCAGGCTGCAGCTTCATCCTTAGATTCGCGGCCACCACTTAGGAAACTCCTCTGATAGAACTCAGCTACAGGGCTGGACAAGCAGAGAGAACATAGAGGTAGAACTGAGCTGAGCTTGAATCTTCTCTTTGGGTTTCTCTTTCTAGCTCCCCATCCCCATCGCAGAGGCGGGCAACACAGAGCCAGAAGCAAGAGCAGAGATCGCTTCCTTCACAACAGTCTGGAGTATCTCTCAACTGTCTCACCTCTGGGATCTGGTCCACCTAGCCCAGATGTCACCAGCTGTAAGGATTCCCTGGAGGATGTGTCTGCAGATATCACCCAGAAGTTCAAGTACCTGGGGACTCACGACCGTGCCCAGCTTTCCTCTGTCTCGTCTAAGGCTGCTGGTATCCGAGGGCCCAGTCAAATGAGAGCGAGCCAGGAGTTTTCGGAGAACGGGGATCCAGATGGCTTATTTTCTAGGAATCGTTCTGATTCGTCTTCAAGTCGAGCCTCCGCTGCCGGCTTTCCACTTGATGTGGCACAGAGAAATGAAGCCATGGCCATGAAAATGGGCGTGCCTTCTGGACACCGCACGGAGGTCCTGGGCAAGAACGAGGCTCCCGACACCGATCACGTGCCATTTTTAAATAGTTATATTGATGAGGTGACAGTGGAAGAAGTGTCAGGAATTCTAGGTAAAAGGGCCACAGCCAACGGTCTGGAAGAAATGATATTACCTAGCAACCGTCTGAAGAGTGTGGTTAAGCCCCAGGATCCCCAGATCTCTAGCAGAATGACTGACAGTGGCCAAGACATGGCATTCCTGCTTAGTAAATATGGAGAAAACCCAGCGTGGGCAAGCACATCTACCCATAATGCCCCAAATGGCTCTAGTCAAATTATGGATGAGATGCCTAATGTCTCTAAAAGTAGTACCACTGGATTTGGCATAAAATCACCACCAGTTACTGGAGGAAAAGAAGCAGTCTATTCTGGAGTTCAGAGTCTGAGAAGCCAGGTTCTGGCTATGCCTGGGGAGACCACTACCCCTATACAGGGCAGCAGCAGGCTGCCTCAGTCACCTCTGTCTTCTTCAAGCCACAGAGTTGTGGCCTCTGGGAGCCCTGGCAAGAACAACATCCATGCCTCTGTGAGCCCAGCCAGTGAGCCCTCAAGGATGACATCAGACCCTGGTGAGTGTAAGTCGGCTAGGGCACTCCCAAGGCTTGAGTGCACAGGGAAAGACAAACACAATACCATGGCGCTGAATCACTTTTGGTACCCTGGTGTCCATGATTCATTCTGCTGAGGGGCTGTGTTGGCTCTCAGGAGCTGCCCTGAATCCGGGGATGCACATGAATGTGGACCCCAAGTATCCTCGCTGTGAGGCCAGGCGTCCTCATTTCCTCTTTTGTTTTGCAGATTTCCTACGCCACATCGTAAGTCCTACGTCTAGTATGGATGATCACGGCCTGAGGGAAATCTGTCAGGACCACCTGTACAAGGGCTGTCGACAGAGTAAGTTGCATTCTTCGTAAGATGCCTTTAGCCACCGTGGGTACTGTTGCTGTGAGCATGCACACCAGTACTCGCTGGGGACCATGCTGCTGCTTTGAGTAATCTAAGGAACTGGATCATAGGGTAAATCTGTTTGATTTATAGTGAAGACTTTTGCCTTGTGTCTCCACTATTTTTCTAATCCCTCCCCCTTTATTCCCTCTTTCCTCTTTCTGTCTCTTCAGTCTTTTTTAAAGAAATCCTTTACGCCGAGCAGTGGTGGCGCACGCCTTTAATCCCAGCACTTGGGAGGCAGAGGCAGGTGGATTTCTGAGTTCGAGGCCAGCCTGACCTAGAGAATGAGTTCCAGGACAGCCAGGGCTATACAGAGAAACCCTGTCTGAAAAAACCAAAAAAGAAAAAAAAAGAAATCCTTTACAATATCGTGTGTGTAATGCAATTTTTATTTTCATAAGCACACCTATTACCCCCTCTTATTTCTCTCCCTCCCTTTCCCTTTTCCAACAAGCCCACAAACAAGTATGTTCATGTCTCTCTCTCTCTCTTTTTTTTTTTTTTGTAATGACCCACTGTGTTTAATCAAGATGGCTCGCATAAGCACAAGTGTGGGGCTATTTACAGGAGCCCAGGCAGCTTATCAATGGCCACACCACTGAAGAAAATGACTCTCCTGCCTCCAGAGCAGCCTTCCTCCTCCGCTTCCCCCTCTTCCTCCCCCATTAATGACTTTTTGAATCATTTAAATCTCAGGCAGTGCCCTTCTGTGAGTTCTGCTGTGGTGCCTTTGTATTGTAAAGTAGCCATGTATTTGTAAACAGCTTTACAGTCATTTAAGGGTCTAGAGAGATGGTTCAGAAGCTAAGAGCACTCACTGTGCTTATAGAGGAACTGGATGAAGTTTCTAACACCCACATGGCTGCTTCAGTTCTAGGGGACCCAATGCTGCCACCTCGCCTCCACGGGCACCTCCCTGCACACAGTGTAGACAAACTCATGCAGGTGTACACACATACACATACAAATTTTTAAATTATTTAAAAAACCTATCATTTATATATTTACCATATATGTATATCTCTTAGACACATACATATATGACAGCAATAATAATTGAAGAAGAAGAGATCATGAATTCAAGATGGTCCAGGAGAGCTTGGAGGGAGAAGGAGGATGGAAATACAGCACATATATATGAAATTAAAAAATAAATAAAACAATTTAAGTAATGATTTAAACACAGCGTTGAGAACTTGAGAGGTTAGTTTCTGTGTTCTTGCTGGCTGGAATGATAATAGTTCCTTACTCAGCAAGTGGCCATTCTAGCATCTTTTTTTTTTTTTTTTTTTTTTTTATTTGATTATTTATTTAAAATTCAAATGTTGTCCCCTGACCCCCTTCCCCACCCACCCCATTCTAGCATCTTTAGCCACACGTGCTGGGAGCATTAGCTGAACAATGTTACAGCTTTCTTCGGTATATCTGTAATTAAAGTGAGCATCACAATATCCGTGGACAGGAATACTGCTTAAAATAAGCAGATGCATTGCATCTAGTCCAAACTGGGTATCAGATCCCAGTTTAAGGAATTCACAATACCAGTCAATCATAATGGAATGACAGTACTTACTGGGATTCATTCTGGAAGAGATGATTCTTAGGCCAAGGCTTCAGGGAAAGACAAGGATTTGTCTATCCTAGAGCGCTCCTTGTCTCGGTCAGAAGAAGTGCAGATGCTCTGGAACCGGAGATGGCTGTAAGCTGCTATGTGGGTACTGGGAATCGAACCCGGGCCACCGGGAAGAGCAGCCAGCTAAGCCACCTCTCCAACCCAGATTTTATTTTCTAATGGGTTTCTGTGGGAACCAGAGTAAATGACACACACTCCAAGCAGGGACCAAAATGACCAAAGGGATGATGGGGAAATGCCTGTCGGTGGGTGGGGTGGTCTTGACAGGAAGTCAGTATTGAACTTGAAGTTAAAGGGTGAACTTGAATTGTTTAGAACTCCCAGTACTTGTCTGTAAATCTTTTCTTATCTTTGTAGGCAACTGCAGCAAGAGCCACTTCTGTCTGCCCTACCGGTGGCAGGTGTTCATATGTACCGCTTGGATGGATTTCCAGGACATGGAGTACATCGAGCGGGCCTATTGTGACCCCCACGTTGAAGTGTGAGTTGGTGGCTGTCCTCTGACTAATGGGATCCACAACTTGAGCAGAGGGGAGTTTCAAGCTCCGCCTGTGATGCGCCAAGCTAGAGATTGTAGGAAGATTTAGTCACTCGAGGTGTGTCCTGTGGAAAAGGACAGTATAGAAAAGGTCAGCTCCTATTCTTAGGAGCTCATCACTATTAAAAACAGTCAAGGAGGACAGGGAGGTGGCTTAGTGCACAAAAGCACTTGTCCCCAAAGCCTGACAACCTGAGTTTGCTCCCTGTAAGTCATGAGGAAACCAGATGAGGTGCCCCACCCATTAGAAGCTGGTGGCCATCCAGCCTGGGGTGATATACCACATAACAGTAGAGAGAAGAAAGGCCCTGCCCCAGGAAGGCAGTAGAGAGAACAGCTCTAACAAGTTGTCCTCTGCCTTCTACTTCTCACACATACAACACACAGCAAAAAATTATTAAAATACACTAAAATACACTAAAACCCAAGAGCTGAAGGTGACACATGCCTTTAATCCCAGCCCTTGGGAGGCAGAGGCAGGCAATCCCTTTGCGTTTAAGGCCAGCCTGGTCTACAGAGCAAGTTCCAGGTCAGCCAGTGCTCTGTTACACAGAGAAAACCTGTCTTAAAAAAACAAACAAACAAACAAACAAACAAACAAACAACCCAAAACACTGGGAAAACAGTTCAGTTGCCTTACAAGAACCTGTTACACCCCTCAAACCCATGCTTTTAAAAAGACAGACAGACACAGCCATGCATGGTGGCTCATGCTTTTAATCCCAGTACTCCGGAGGCAGTGGTAGGCAGCTCTCTGAGTTTGATAGCAGCCTGGTCTACAGAGTGAGTTCCAGGAGAACCAAGACTACACAGAAAATCCTATCTCAAAATACATTAGTTAATTAATTTACAAAATTTAAAAAGCCAGACAATTATTGAGCAGTTATCTCAGTCATAGAATGTTTGCCTAGAAAACACAAGGTTCTGGATTTGGTCCACAGCTCTTGGTGGGGGGAGGAAGCAGGGCTTATGATCCCAGACCTGGAGAGGGAGAGACAGTTGAATCCTTAGGGTGTGCTAGTTAGTCTAGGCTACTTGGTGAACATCAGGCCAGTGAGACCTGGTCTTACAAAACAAAGTGGGAAGGATCAGAGAATGACAGTTGAGGTTGTCTTCTGGCCCCTACATACATGCAGATACATGTACGTGCATATACACACATATCACACACACACACACACATTTAAAAAAAATGATTTAAATGATTCAGAATAAATAAGCCTTTGGCTTAGTTTATTAATTTATAAATATAGCTGACAGTTTGGGAGGCTGTAAAGTATGTGAAATCAATCCCCAGAACACACAGGAGAGTGTGGAGTAATCTTGGTTCTTGAGACAGGTGATTCCCAGCCTAGCCTGCTTGGTAAATTCCAGGTCATCGAGAGACCTTGTCTCAAAAAAAAAAAAACCCACAGTGGATCTAAAGTTTGACCTCTAACCTTCATGCACACATACACCCCCACACATATAATTTGAATAATTGTGTGTTCTAGTACAGACGTTTGATATATACCTACAATTTTGTGTATGCCATCTCTGTGTTCCAGAGGCATCTAAGAAGGTGCCTTGGATTTCTGCATTTACCAGGGTTGGTGTGGGTGATAGCCACATGACCACATTTACTTTTGGTGTGCAAGAGGGAAGTGTACATTTTTTTTCATCCAGTATGGAATGTAGGTAAATGTTCTGTGCTGCTGCGTTCTGCCACTAGGGGGCAGCATTAGCTGTTCTTGTATGTAGATGAGACTTTTGCCTGGTGCTCCCCCCACACACACTCCCCCTCCCCCCACATACTTTTCCTTCTTCATAACCCAGCTCTCAATCTTGAAACTACTAGTGTTTAAGAATAGAATGTGTTGTGGGATAGTGTTTAGCAGTATTCTTGCTCTTGCCTCCCCTGATTCCCTTCACCTGTGACCAACAATGTCTTCTACTTATTACTGAAGGTTCCCTGATCTTTCCTGACCAAGGACCTAAGAAGTCTTTCTTAGAACAGCAGTTCTCAAACTTTCATCTCAACATTAACACTATTGAAACATATTGAGGATCTGTGTATGTTAATTACAGCTATCAGTATGTCATATTAAAAATAACCGGGCAGTGGTGGCGCATGCCTTTAATCCCAGCACTTGGGAGGCAGAGGCAGGTGGATTTCTGAGTTCGAGGCCAGCCTGGTCTACAGAGTGAGTTCCAGGACAGCCAGGGCTACACAGAGAAACCCTGTCTCGAAAAACCAAAAAAAAAAATAAAATAAAATAAAATAAAATAAAATAAAATAAAATACCTAGGACTGGAGGAGGGATAAAAGTAGATAAAAGTTCTTGCTGTGTAAGCAGGATGATATTCTGGGAGTTCAGCTCCCAGAATACACTGGGGAAAGTAAGAATTGACTTCCAAGTATAGTTCTCTGACCTCCATGCATGTGCACACACATATACACATACCTATGCTGTATACACACATGCATCACACACACACACATACATGCACATAAATACACACCCCATGCAAACACTCACATTATATATCCATACGTGCATACGTGTACATCTTTTCTTTTCTTTTTTTTCTAGGCAGGGTTTCTCTGTGTAGCCCTGGCTGTCCTGGAACTCACTCTGTAGACCAGGCTGGCCTTGAACTCAGAAATCCGCCTGCCTCTGCCTCCCAAGTGCTGGAATTAAAGGCGTGTGCCACCACCGCCGGCACATGTACATCTTATACACACACCATACATACACATTCTACCTACCCATCTGTCATACACAAGCTCTCAAATGTACACACATCATACGCACACATATCATAGCCACACCCCCTCATATCATACCCACAAAAATCATACATACACACAAATAAAAATGAAATCTGCTGTAAAGTTACATGTCATGTAGCCTCCAGAAAGCTATCTTGTACACATGAAAGTAGGAAAGCAAAAAAGGCAAATGGTAGGGTTTTTGCTTCGTTTTTTTGAAGTAGGGTTTCTCTGTGTGGCCCTGGCTGTCCTGGAACTTGCTCTGTAGACCAGGCTGGCCTTGAACTCATAGATCTCCCTGTCTGTCTCCTGAGTGCTGTGATTAAATGCTTGTTGGCATTTGCCACCAAGCCCAGTCTTTTTTTTTTTTGAGGATAGTGCTTTAATATTCCTGTGATAGTTTTGACCTTGTCAGTCCTCTTCTATTCCTACATTATTCAGACTATTTGAATTACAGTAAATTTATTTTTTTAATTAAAAAATGAGTTTCTAAACACTATGCCAATTTGTTTTATGAACAATTTTATTCTTTTTATGGGGGGGTGGGGAATCATCTTGCATTTTCCCTTTATGTAAAGATTTTTAAATTTTAATGTGTATGAGTGTTTAAGGCTGTTTGTATGTGTGGGTTTCTTGGAACTGAAGTTGCAAATGGTTTTGAGTTACCATGTGAGTGCAGGAAATTGAACCCAAGTCCTCTGTAAGAGCACCTAGTGCTCTCAACCAACCACCCTGTGCTCTCAACCAACCACCCTGTGCTCTCAACCAACCACACTGAGCCTTTGCTCTAGCCCACTGGGGAATTTTTTTTTTTTTAAGGGAAAGAATGAATATCTATTTACACTTATTTATTTACTTGTTTATTATTAAGGCAGGGCCTCACTGTGTAGGACAGGCTGGCCTCCAACTCACCATCCACCTCTGCTTCCTGAGTGCTGGGATTAAAACGCACCACCACACCCATCAGGAATGTTTGTTTGTTTGTTTGTTTGTTTGTTTTAAAACCATTACATATTGTCTTAGTTAGGGTTTTACTGCTGTGGACAGACACATGACCAAGGCAACTCAGGTTCAGAGGTTCAGTCCATTATCATCAAGACGGGAACATGGCAGCATCCAGGCAGGCATGGTGCAGGAGGAGCTGAGAGTTCTACATCTTCATCTGAAGGCCACTAGGATAAGGATCTTAAAGCCCACCTCCACAGTGACACACTTCCTCCATCAAGGCCACACATCCTAATAGTGCCACTCCCTGGGCCAATCATATTCAAACTACCACACATATGTTATAAAGATAAATTACCTGTCTGGATTTCAGGGTTTTTATTATTATGTGTAAGACTAAGAACTGTGCAAAGGAAATTTAGGCTCAATTCCCAATATCACTTAGAATGAAAGAGTCAGAGAGAAATAGAGAAAGAACATTTAAAGATCCATTGCAGCCCTAAAATTTAAATTCTGTGTTCACGGGAGGGGTAGCCCATGAACCCATGCTTCCAATGCTGGAAACAGAGGTCACTGAAGTCAACTTTCTACCTTTCTCTTGCAGCATTTTGATAGAAAAACATCAGATCGATTTCCAGAAAATGACTTGTGATTCCTACCCCATCCGCCGCCTCTCCACTCCTTCATTTGTTGAAAAGCCGCTCAATTCCGCCTTCACCACCACGTGGCTTTGGTACTGGAAGAATGAACTTAATGAGTACATTCAGTATGGGGATGAGGTGAGTACCATTTCCCCTGAGAGGAGAGAAGCCAAAACACTGTTAAGATGTCTGAATCCTACACACACCTACGTTTCCTTGGAGAGTGGACACCTTGGGGTTTGTTTTTTTTTTTGGGGGGGGGAGGAATAGACATTATAAAGCACAAATCAATTAACCTTGGGAAAGATGAAAATAAACTATAGGTCTCTTGGTTCCTACATTATGTATTTAATGTTCTGTCAGATAAGGAAGAAAGATCAGGCAACATTCGTATCCTAGTGACATCAGTGCCAGAGACCAAAAAGAGAATAGGAGATATTTAAATTCAGAGCCACTGACTAACCTGCCTGTCACCAAACCTGACAACCTGACTTTCATTTCCCCCACAGAAATAAGTAAATGTAACTTAAACATTAAGCATGTCTAGTTCTATAGATCACATTTCCTAATAAAACACCAAGAAACTTCACCCATAAGCATAGCAGTGCCTGAAATCCTATCACTGGGCTACATACTGAGATCCTGTATCAAACAAACAAATGAAAGAAAGACCATTTCTGAGCTCTTTAATACAGACTTTTTTCTGGGACATTCAGACTACAAAGGTATTAAGATAAAATTTTATTTCTTAAATTACATTTAGTGTGTGTGTGTGTGTGTGTGTGTGTGTGCGTGTGAATGTGGAGGTGACAGGGCAACTTTCAAGAGTTTCCTCTCCTGTCATGTGGGATCCGGAGATGGAATTCAGGCTTGCCAGCAAGCAACTTTACCAGCTGAGCCATCCTGTCAGGGCTAGAACATAATCTTACATGTGCATAAACACAGTGCAAGACCCTTGTGCTGTGTGATGTGCTTAGTGGCTTCATCATGGCTTACATCCAGTTGGCTCTTCTTTCACTAAAAGGGAAGGAAGGTAAAGGTACAAGCCTTTATCTGCTTTCTCATGGAAAGAGTTTGATCCCTGGGACCCACGTGGTGGGAGAAGGAAACTGACTTCTACAAGCTGTCCTCGGACCCTCACACGGGCATCCTGGCGCAGGCACTTTCCTGCCCTCCCACTAAATAAATGTCCAAAGGTTAAAAAGACTATATCTAGGTTAGGCATGGTAGCATATGGCTTTAACCCCAGCACTTGGCAGAGGTAGTTGAATATCTGTGAGTTCAAAACCAGCCCAGTCCACATAGTGAGTTCCAGACTGTGTTTCAAAAGCAGGGGGAGCAGTCTGTGGGAGAATGCTTAAAAAAATACTTAGCCAGGCAGTAAACTAGAGAGGCAGAGGCAGAGGCAGGAGGATCTCTGTGAGTTTGAGGCCAGCCTGGTCTATAGAGTGAGTTCCAAAATAGCCAGGGAGAGCTACACAGGGACAGAAAGCCTGTCTTGAAAAGCCAAGGAAGACAGACAGACAGACAAAATGAAATACAGTTAGACACTGTGATAAGGAACAAGATGGAAGAGGAAAGTGAAACCACGTTTTACCTACAAAGTTCAAATGCAATAGATTTAGAAACTCAGTTATTTTGAGGATTTTTGTGTTTGTGTTGGGTTGGGGTGTGTTTGTGTCAGCTGCACCAGACCCTAGAGCCTTATTAGTTAATGTGAGGTTCACAGACCATCATCACCTAGATGATGTTCAAATGCTGAACCACCAGGTCCTCCTAACTCCTGAACTAACTCCAAATTTAGTCAGTTCCCTGGTGCGCTTCCTGTGTGTGAAATTTGGAAAAGTGGTTTAAAGCACAAAGCCGAAGACACAGATGATGTAACTGTTATCTTGAAGGCTTACTGCCTCCATCTGCTAACCTAGGCCTAGTCCTGGAAGCTTCTAGCATCTGTAAACTCTGGCTGGCTGGTCAACTCAGCTGTTCTGGCTCAAAACTCCTCTCCAAGCTGACTGATTCAATCTGGCTTCTCTTTCAGCCTCTGAGTTTTTGCTGTGCTTGGCCTCATACTAACTCTAGCAATACGCTCTAATCTCATGCTTCTAATGCTTCTTCTGGCTCATTCTGTCTTCACCTGTGTCTAGCTTCCTCTCCCTATGCAACCTGTCTCTGTAAAACTGTCCCAGTAAAACTGCCTCCTCTCTTTTTCTCTCTCTCTGTTCTGCTCTCTTAAGTAGCTTCCCGTCTCTCTCTGTTCTCCTCAGAGTTTGGCATATCCTATTCTGTCAAAATCTTTCTCTGATTTCGTCACTTTGTCTGCTCAATTAGACATCACTTTCTTTCTTTCTTTTTTTTTGTTTTTTTTTTTTGTTTTTGGTTTTTTTGTTTTTGTTTTGTTGTTGTTGTTTTTTGTTTTTTCAAGACAGGGTTTCTCTGTGTAGCCCTGACTGTCCTGGAACTCACTCTGTAGACCAGGCTGGCCTCAAACTCAGAAATCCGCCTGCCTCTGCCTCCTAAGTGCTGGGATTAAAGGCGTGCGCCACCACCGCCCGGCTAGATATCACTTTCAAACATGGGTGCTTCTTTCTACAAACTAACTTCATGGTTTCCAATTAAAGGTGTGTGCTAGGGCTGAGTCACACCACAACTGGAAATAGGTTTTTCCAGTAAACAACACATCTTGAAGTTCAAAGTGTGATCAAATATCCTGCGACAGGCACTCATTAGAAGTATAGTCAGTTTCTATAGAACAGTGCTCTCTCTCCAGCACTGTGACTTGGTGTCTGGTGGGAAGTTAGTAAGCCTGGCATGGAAGAGCCTCCCTAGATGCAACGTTAAAGCAAAACTGTGTGAGATAGAAGAGTAGAGATTTCCCAAAAGTCTTTACCTGTGTTTTCTTCATTTTTGTGTGAATAGAGCCCAGGCCATACCAGATCCGAAATCAACTCTACATACCTGGAGACTGTCTTCCAGTCCTGTCCCAGGGGAGTTTTGCCATTCCAGGCTGGTTCACAGGGGTATGAGTTAAGCTTTCAAGGTGAGTTCTTGTCTTTGGTGGTGTGGAGTGTCCATAGAATCTGCCACTGAACACACAAAAGTAGACAGTTCAAGTATGTGTCACACCCAAGGTCAAGGGTCTTTTTTAGCTTGGAGGAACAGTCTCTGAGAGTGACAGCAGGTGGCCTGGGGCCCTGTTTCCAACAGACTTTTTCTGTGCAAACCCCCAGAAGAGCTTCCAGACTCTCTATGCCCACTTCTCTTCCAGAAATCAGAGATTTGGACAAGACATCTCTAGAGGGTTCTTTGGCCCTGTCAGATTATGTTTCTGATTCCGGGTGGAACACTTGACTGTTTAGTTTTGAGTGACTACAGTGGAGACCTTGGGCCTCTGGGCAGCCTTAGACATCTAGACACTCGTTCTTTTCTTCATGCCTTGCCTCTTGATCAGTGGTCTAATCTATCGTCTCCGCTTGGGCACTCGGCCCACCACCATGTTTATTTGAACCTCTGTAGGAAAGTCTTCTTGTTAGCTTTCACCAGTCTGTTATGTTAAGTGAAAAAAGAAATGGGATCTGAAACCAGCTTGGCTTTGGAAGCACTGTCTCCTTGGTATCGTGCCTCAGGCACATGCCTGCAAGTAGCCAGACACTTGCCCTTTCAGGACCGGTTTTGAAGAAGTGAGACTTTCCCAGTTGTCTCTGAGGCTTGATCCCTACGCCACTTATTATGTTGTAAACGATGTAACTTTAGAGATTATATTACACCAGCCGATTTTGGAAATCAGCCTGGCATTCCCACCAGGACATGTTGAAATATGCCCACTGCTTCAGTTCCTCTGTGTCAGCTAGACGAACAGTGAATAAACAAACTAGAGTATCTGATGTCAGTGGGTTGTTAGGGTAGTTGTCCTAGCTTGAATCTCTGTCGCTGTAATAGACTCCCTTACCAAGAATCACTGGGAGAGGAAAAGTTTAGGGAGGTCAAGGCAGGAGCTTGAAGCTGACACCATAGGGGACTGTTGCTTACTGGCTTGCTTTCCCTAGCTTACTTTACTTCACTGTAAAGCAAAGTACTCTAAAGGTACTTACTACTTCTCCTTTACAGAACAGTTCCATCTGCCTGGGCATGGCACTGCCCACAGTGGGCTGGGTCTCCCACATAATTAGCAAGTAAGAAAATGCCTCCCAGACATGCCCACAGGCTAATCTGATGGAGACGATTCCTCAACGGAGGCTCCCTCTTCCCAGATATGTCTTGGTTTCCGTCAAATTGTCAAAAACTACCATGATTAGTGTTAAGAATTATGGTTATGAAAACTAGGTATTTAAAACTAATTGGGGCTGGGTGGTGGTGGCCCACACCTCTAATCCCAGCACTCAGGAGGCAGAGGCAGGTGGATCTCTGATTTCGAGTCTGGCCTGACTATAGAGCAATTTCCAGGAAAGCCAGAGATACACAGAGAAACTCGATCTCAAAACTCTACCACCAACAACAAAACAAAAACAACCAACAACAAATAAACAATCAAACAAACAAACCAAAACCCTAATGGGGACCCAGGGCATGTCTTTAACCCCTTCACTTGGGAGTCAGAGGCAGGAGAATCTTTGTGAGTTCTGGAGCTATTAGGGATGCATAGTGAGACTCTATCTGAACACAAAATAACCCAAAATCAAGACAAACAAAATTGAGTGAGTTATTATTAAATGAAAATCATTGTACTGCAGATCTGTTGTTTTATATGTTTTGTTTAAAATATGAATTGATTTTTAATGTTAATGCTATAAGAAAAGCAAGCACTTATTAACCCCAGAGCCATCTCATGAGTGCTGGACTTAATTTTTTTCTATGTTTATGTGTATGGATATTTTGCCTGCATGTTATAAAACTGTATACCTGGTGCCCCTGGAGGCCAGAGGAGGGAGGGCACCTGAACCACCAGAACTGGAGCTACAGACGTTTGTAAGCTACCATGTAGGTGATGAGGATCAGATGTGGGCCCATTAGATGAACGCCCTGTGCTTTTGGTTGGTGAGCCATCTCTCTAGTCCCACACCCCTTTCTTAACATCAGAGCTGTGGGAAGATTTTGAGTGTCATTGCAGCGGTATCCCGTTTCCCCTTCTAATTTTCTTTGTTTTATCACCCTTACTGAGTCCTGATATCTCAGTACATGAATCCACTTCACTTACACAGTTGGCTTGAGCGCTGACAAATAAGTTTACACGACACATTTCCATCTGTCCAAAAGTTTGCCTTGCCTCTTTTTGTCTTTGTGTGTGTGTGTTTCTCTACGTAGCTCTGGCTATCCTAGAACTTGCTTTGTAGATCAGACTCTACTCGAACTCACAAAGGTCTGCCTGCCTCTGCCTGCCTAGTGTTGGTTTTAAAGGTGCACACCACTACTGCCTAGCCCTGTTCTGACTCGTTTACAACATCTGGAACCCATCTTTTATTCCATGACAAACTATGGCTAGTTTACTATAAGTTCCTATAGGTCAATTTTACGATTTTTAAAACTTCATATTAATTTTTTTTCTTTTGATTTTTTTTTTTTTTTGAGACAAGGTTTCTCTATGTAGCCCTGGCTATCCTGGAGCTCTATATAGACTAGGCTGGCCTCCAACTCACAGAGTTCTGCCTCTGCCTCTGGAGTGCTGGAATTAAGGGCCCACTCTACTACCCAGCTATTAATAGATTCTCAAAGTATATATTCACACATAGCTGGGTTCTTTCACTTAAAATAGTGGGTTTTAGAATTATTTATGTTGTGGTAGGTATAGTAGTTCTTCACTTTTATCTGCTGAATAATATTCCATTATGAATACATTTCATAGTATATCCATTCACAAGTTTTCCAATGTTTTGTTATCAACAATGCAACTATTTTTTTGTGGGTATAGGTTTTCATTTATTTGAGTGGAGTTCCTGGATATGTTGGACTTTATGAGAAGCTGTTTAACTATTTTCCAAAGAGAAGTGTTATTTTATACTCAAGCAATGCATGGTAATTGAAAAAAGTCACTCTTGGAATCTTGAACCAGGTCTACAGTTGATTTATCTAAAACTACCCTTCTCTGTGCATGTAAGATTAGTTCATGGCACACACCTTTAATCCCAGCAATCAGGAGGCAGAAGCAGGTGGATCTCTGTGAGTTTGAGTCTAGCCTGGTCTACAGAATGAATACTGGGACAGCCATGGCTAAACAAAGAAACCCTGTCTTGAAAAGAAGAATAAAAGAAGAAGAAATAAAGAAAAAGATTCAGTCATCAATGTTTGCTGTACAAATGACCTCTGGGGAAAAATGAGTCATTTTCTAGAATCAACTCTTGATCTTTATTTTATTTTATTATTTTTGTCTAAAGGGATGATTCAGACAAATATAGCTTCCAAGACTCAAAGGCATGTTGTCAGAAGGCCTGTATTTGTTTCTTCGAAGGATGTGGAGCAGAAGAGAAGAGGTCCAGAGTAAGTGTTCTGAAGTTGTTAGCTCGGGCCATGATCTTGCTGCGTCTTGCATCTGGATTCTGTGTTCTTGGGAAGTTCCTGCTTCTGTCTCACTGTAGTTTCTATTTGATTTATCCATGAGTAAGGAGATTGTTAAGCAATGTGGCATAACTGAAGGTTTCCTGGGCCAGGGGGCCAGGGTGTGCAAGCACTTGGTTAAGCTTTGTGTAATAGATACAAGGCCTTGGGGTTTTGTTGTAGGGTGGGAAGGGTACTATTTCCTGAAACTCTTAACTTACAGGGTATTTTAGCAGCTCTGGTCCATACTCTGGGCCTCACTTGCTCCAGCTGTGATTGGCTGGATCAAGGAATATGCTGGTGAATAAACCGGATTTTTGTTTTGCTGTGAGTCCTCTCTCTGTCTTTGGTTGTGCTGTGAGGACAGGATGCTGAGAAAAAGGCTTAAGCTAGGAGCCTGGTGAAGAGCTAGAGGAAGATGAAGTTGGCTAAAGGTGTTGGTTTTAGTTTTAATTGACTTGTAATCATTGTACCCATGGGGCACTTCCAGGCGGGTTTTGCTGTGGGGAATTCATTGTAACTTGCCTGTCTGCTCTGAAACTCAGTAAAATCTCACTGTTAACAAACTTTGCAGTTGGATTTTTTTTCCCTCTGGGGGTGTGTGATATATGAGTCAGGTTTCAAGGCAGGTGTAAAAATCGAGCTGTCCGAAATTCTTGTAGTCAACATGGAAATGATAGCTAGAGAGTGCTCAGATACGGGATTGGCAGGAAATCATGTCCACGGAGTGATGTGAACGCCAATGCTCCAGGATGGAGCAGCTTGCTTCAGGTTCTAAGTCACCTACGTTCACACTGCCCCCTCTTGTCTACAAAACATATTTAACAGCAACAGTGTGCTCACTGCTGAGATACAGCCTCAGACCCTGGGAACAATGGCTGGACAACACATGTGTACATCTAACAAAATGACAGTAATTCATTAAATGTCACGTAATACCCATTTCACTGTCTATTTTCCTGTTCTCTTTGAAATTACCTTTTATAGTTGATTCATCTCTAAGCTGCTTTTAAACTATTTAAGTGTACCTGCCTCTATTTTTTAGAAAATGTTGTGTGGTGTCTGGAAAGATGGCTCAGTGGTTCAGAGCACTGAGGGTCTTCCAGAGGACCCAAGTTCAGTTCCCAGCACCCACATAGCAGCTCACAACTGTCTGAGACTACATCAGCGCACATAAGATAAAAATAAATTATACAAAAACTATGTGCATGCTCATGTGAGCTGGTGATCTCACCAGTTCTGGCACATGTGGAGGGCAAAAATTGACAATGGTATGTTTTCCTTAATCTACCTTGAGACAGTTGCCAACTGAACCTGGAGCTTGCACATCAGCTAGACTGGCTGGCCTACGAGGCTCTGGAACACTTGTTTCTAATTTCTTGCGGGGGTGGGGGGCTGCCAGGCATAGCTTTTTATGTGGATGCTGGCATCTGAGCTCAGAACTTCAGTTTTCCCAGTTGTAAAAGTAACTTCTATCTGCCTAATATAATTGTTTTCTCTGAGGCTTACTATTGAATAAAGCTCATCCTTTCTAGTTCTTTCTGAACTCTGGCTGGCTGGTTCAACATAGCTGTTCTGGCTCAGACTCTTCTCCAAGCTCACTGATTCAGTCTGGCTTCTCTCAGCTTCTCACTGAATTGTTCTGTTTGGCCCAAACCAACTCTGGAAATTTGTTCTAATCTTCTGGCTCATTCTTATTCTCTAGCTGCAATAAGCTCTGCTGACCTACACATGAACTCACAAATGAACTCTGCTTTCCTGCAAACTCAAGTCCACTCAACTGAACAGACTTGCAACTCTGCACTGCTATTAAATAGCTTTTCTCCTGAGAGTTGGGTGTATCCTATTTCTGACTCATTCTATCACATCTTTCTCTGGTTCATCACTTTGTCTGCCCCTCAATTAGATGTAATTGTTTGGGGTTAAAGGTGTGTACTAAAGGATTCCATCCATAGGGCATGTCTGCATTCCAGCCAGATCACACAGACCTAGAAGGTCTTCGGATGTGATCACAGCAGCCATATTGCTGGATTAAAATTCCTCTACACTTAATGAACTATCTCCTCAGTCCATCCCCCACATTCTCTTTTCTCTTCTTCCTTCCTCCTCTCATTTGTTTGTTTCTGAGATAGGGTCTCTCTGTGTAGTCTTACCTGCCTCAAAGTCAGTATGTAGACCAGGCTGTCTTCGAATTTACAGTTACGCCTGGTTCTGCCTCCTGAGTGCTAGGATTAAAGGTATGCCTCCACATCTGATTACCCTCTATTTTTAAAAAGTGATTTTTAAAAATCATCATATTCCTATGAGGCCATTTTATGGGTGGCTTCTGTAGGCTGGTTACTAGATTTTGAGGACTTGTCAGGTCAGGGCTGGGTTTGCTCTGATTGTCTTGTTTACTGATATTAAGGGATGGCTGCCGTTATTTCAGTCTTCCAGCTGATCTCTCACCCTGAAATACAGTTTTGACAAAAAGGCAAGGTCCCTTCCTCTGTCTTTCTATACTTACCTGTCTATCATTTGGCAAAGAAGTTACAAGACACGCAAACTTGCACTGACACACCTGTACCTTTGAAGGTTGAGCAGATACATCAAAAAGAATTGGTGCCTTTACATGGTAGTTTTATTTACTATCCATCCATCCATTCATTTTCTCAGTATGTGTGTATAGGTGTGTGCACGCTCTCCCCTCACCCCTCCCCCCCACACACACAGGAGGAGATCAAGAACAAATTCTAAAGAGTCAGTTCTTTCCTACAACCTGAAAGGATCCAGCAATGAGACTCTTCATCAGGCCTTCACGCAAGCATCCGTACCTCCTGAGCTATCTCGCCTGCCCATGCTTTTACAGTTTAAAGGAATGAACAAGAGAGTGTTTACATTACTAAATTACCCCCTTTTTAAACCTGTGGTTACTGGAATCAGGAATTTTCAGGGGTAGTTCAGAGGAAATACAGAAGTCAACACCACATTCCCCAGAAAGCCCTGACTTCTGGCTGCGTGTTGAGGGTAGAAAGAAAGGGAACCAAGTAAAATGTCCTTCTGTCTTTATTTATAGCCATCAGCCAGTGATGCCCCAGACAAATGCTTCGACCCTGTATCCTCTTTCCCAGAGGAGTGCTATCGATGTTTTTCCTAAGGAATATGAGGTAGGTAATTGGCTTTGCTTGTTTGGTGGGTGAATCAATCCTTTGAAGGTAGGAAAATGCTTTACAGTGAGCATATGGGTTTGTTAATGGATGAGTGAATTGCTTCTTCAAAACTTAGCTCCAGAGTCAAAGGTGAGGTGCCTGGGTATGATTGTGACACTTTCCCAGAGAACAACTGTTTTCTAGGGCATCTCAGTGTTCCCAGAGATGCAATATCATTCGGGCAGATTCTCACAGCAAGCCTATGAGATCATAACTGATAAAGAAAGCAGGATTCTGAAGGCAACAGTAGCCTAGTTTCATGTGTCCCATCTTGTCCCCATCCTGGCTGAGAGAAGACTGTCCCTAGTCTTGTTTAGCCTTCACACCTGGCTCCAGCTCTTGTGAAGGCCAGTCTGCTTGTGTTCCTTCCATAGGTATCTCTGATCTCTCTGTCACTGGTTGGTTTTGGAATTTGGGCAGTTAACTTCCTAGGTCTCTGGACTAAGTCATATACCACATGAGTTAGCCTGAACAGACAGGTGCACATGCCTGCTGGTTCATGCTAAGCCAGCCCTTCCCACCTGAGAACAGCAGTGATGCTCAAGGCATGGGCGGGCACATGTGATGATTAGCATGCATTCAGTGTTTTCTAGTTAACATTTAAATGTCTTTTTTTTTTTTTTTAAGTTTCTAGAACTCAATAGCCAGGATGCGGAATATGTCAAAATAAGTCAACAGTTTAGCTCATCCATGAAACCTTTCAAGATTGTGAAGATACAGAGGATATGGAATCAAAAGCTCTGGGATGCTTTTGACAGGTGACACAATCAGACCTTGTTTGGGGTCATGTTATTTAAATAGATCAAGAGAGGAGTATTTATTTTATTTTATTTTATCTTATTTTATTTGCACATTTATTTATTTGACGCTAGGGTGCGGGGTGTACACATCACAAGAAAACTTGCTGGAGTCAGTTGCCCCCTCCCCGCTCTGACCACATGGGTCCAGGTGACTGAACTCAGTTCTCCTTGCCCAGTAGTGGCCATCTTGCCAGCCTAGTGTTCTTGGTACTGAAGCTCACATTTCTCTATCTTAGGAAGAGGCAAAAGATGAAAAATAAAACTGAGATGCAGCTGTTTCATGCAGCACACCGTACTCATGTGGATTATATCTGTAAGAATAATTTCGAGTGGATCCTACATGGAAATCAGGAGACCAGATACGGAAAAGGTTTGTGCTGGAAGAGGGAGAGCTGGGACTCCAGCCCTGAGCGTGGTGGTTTTTTTTTGTTTTGTTTTGTTTTTTTTGAGATGCCCTTGGCATCACTTTGTAAACCTGTAGCATCGGGGCTTCAGCAGCCTTAAGAGAAAATAAGCTGAGTAACCTTAAGTCTGTGTTAGGCCAGCTCTGTTGTCTTGAGGGCTCCTGTCTTGTCTGTCTTGTCATTTTCTCTGGGAACAACCCCTGATAGAACTTTTTCTCCGTTTCCCTTTGCAACCACAGAAGCACTGCTTTCAGTTTTGGGGTTTGTGTTTTTGTTTGTTTGTTTGTTTGTTTGTTTGTTTTTGTCAGCTTCTGGTCTTTCCCCCTCCCTGGGCAGCCCACTGAGTTCTACCTGCAACTCTAGTCCACAGATCCAGACTCTTTCACCTTCCTTCTACAAACCAGCTCCAAAGGCCTGCAAACCTTGGGTCAAGTTTATGACTACAACAGCCTCACTGTGTTACATCACTTCCTGTATTGGTTGTCACCGTGACCAAATACCCAACAAGAAGCAACTTAAGGGGCAATGGATTTATTTTGGTGGGAAAGGCATAGCAGCAATAATTCCAGGCACCTGGCCAAACTGTAGCCAGGGTCAGCAAGCAGGTGGGGTGGGAGGTGCTAGTGTATGTCAAGATTTCTTCCTTTTTCTTTTTTACTCAGTCTGGGTTTCCAGCCCTTGGAATGACATTACCTGCGTACAGGTGGGTCTTTCTGGAAAACGTCTCTGGAAGTGTTATCAGAGACATGCCTCCCACCTGATTGGAAAGGCGGTAACGTTGATGCTGAGGATTAAGCATTGAGGGCTTACAGGAGTCAGGTGGTGTTGGCAGATGTTTCTTTCTTTCATATCCATGTCTGATTCTTTGTATTCTGTTATAACCTATGTTCACTGATAGTAATTCTGCACTTCTTTTTCTGATCATTTCCAGGAAATTATTTTGCCAAAGAAGCCATCTATTCCCACAAGAGTTGTTCATATGAAACCAGAAACATTGTTATGTTTGTAGCCCGAGTCCTGGTTGGAAATGTCATTGAAGGAAATATGACATTTAGTAGCCCTCCTGCGCTCTATGACAGCTGTGTGGACACCAGGCTGAATCCCTCTGTCTTTGTCATTTTCCGGAAAGAACAGATTTACCCAGAGTATGTAATTGAGTATGTGGACTCGGAGAAAGAGAAAGAGAAAGAGAAAGAGAAAGAGAAAGGGTGCATAATTAGTTAGAAATGACGTATGCCGTGCCGAAACCATTCTGTTGCTGTCTAGGACCAAGTCAGCCCCAGACAGTAGATAGTCTTTTACATTCTCTTGCTACATTACCTAACGTCTTAAACCAGCTTCTTGTTCCCAAGTCCATCTTTACCTCCCCAGTACCAGCCCTTCTGGTGTTCTTACTGTCCTTGGTGCCTCCTGCACCTAATTCATTGGTTCTAGATGAACTATTCTGTTAGTTTTTATCACCTAGTAGGCAATATCTGTTTTGTCTAATATTCAAAGTGCAATTCGGGTATAGATTCTCCACAGATTACATTAATTTAAAAAATATATCAAATTTACTATCATGTAAGAGGGAAGTATTAGGTCATAACTTCGGCCCGACTTTACAGTACTGAGAAATAATGGAGTCGTCAGATGCCTACACTTACCATGAACCAGTATGAGCTTATAAGAAAGGAATTGGAGGAACATGAAAAAGCAGGAACATGTGTAGACATCAGAGTAAAGACTAACGATACACGTTATTTGTAAATGTCAGCAGCTACCTGTACATGGTAAGAACGAAATACCTTCATTGAAATAAAGATACAGTACAAAAGAACTTACAGATTGTCAGAACAGCGAGAATGAAGAGATACGTTCTTGCGGGCGGACGAGCTGTAAGTAGTACATGAATGTCTAAAGAGACATTCAAAACTCGAATAGGGCGCAGAGTAATTTCTTATTGTGAGGAACTGCCCAGTGTATTGAAGGATGCACAGTTGGCTCTCACATGCTAAATGCCAGTGGCGCCCTCCTTTGCCCGAAGTCATGACAACCACAGACCCTACTAGACCTGTTCATCCTTTTAAAGGTAGATCTTTGATAACATCCTTGAGATGATTTATAGGTAATCTAATCCACATTTGAGTTTATTCAGACTTAATTTAGTGCCCTGCTTATGTTATAAATGGAAACTTAGAAAGTCAGAACTCTGTAAAGGATACAAACTGTAAGTACTCAGACATGACTATGCTATCAGCTACGAAGCATGTTAACTCTCACTAGGAATAGGTTTGGCTTAAGAGTCCAGCAGGGGTAACATCTAAGCTGAATGAAGTTCAGGAAAATGAAAGATTAAAGGGATGTGTGACAGAATGCAGTATTAGGGTACACCACAGCAGACTCCGCACCTTATCTGTCTATGGTGAAGGAAAGGGCGCAATCACTCTAATTGAAATGATAGATAATAAGACAGGACAAATTACAGTCTGTCTCAGAGGAATCCAAGGATTCTTTCTCAGACAAATTGTAGGTCCTGCATAAATGTCCAACAGGACATTAACCAGTCGTAAAGGTGCAGAACGGTTTGTGTGTGGGACTGACCCATCCACACACAGCAGGGTGCTTGTTCTGCCTCAGGCTGCATCTACTCAGTGCGGTTAATAAACTTTAGATACAAAGCCAACAACCATCACTCTCCAGTATACTACAGTGGGGACCGCTGATCTAGTTAATGGTAGTACTCTTAGATCAATTCAATTGTTTTATTTCCACTGTTTTACTACAGAATAAACCAGGACCTTGCCTCTTAAGCTCTTGGTTTTTAAAAATGCTGTGTTCCTTGATTTATAATCCTTCTTGTTTGCTCAATAAAAAGAAAAAAGTAATTTGATTCATTTGTCTTCGTTTTCTCTGTTTATTGCTATTTCTAAAACAAACAAACAAACAAACAAACAAACAAACAAACTCCACTACAGACAGCAGACTCAAAGGCAAGACTGGCATGGTGGCCACTAAGGCTGCAGGTGATTGGCCCAGCCTTGGGCTATAGACTTAGGGAGAGAAGTATTAGAAGCCACAAACATACTTTTCCTCCTCTCTTTCCAAAGGTGGTAACAGTGTCGGGCTAAGACATAAAGGTTCATATATTTATAGCCAGAATTAACCTCTTAGCCAATCTTCAAAAACCTTTCTTTAAAGCTGTGGTGAATGCCTTTAGACAGAGGGAGGAAAATTTCTGGGAGTTCTAGGCCAGTGTCTTAGTTCGGGTTTTACTGCTGTGAACAGACACCATGACTAAAGCAACATTTAATTGGGGCTGGCTTACAGGTTCAGAGGTTCAATTATCAAGGCAGAAGCATGACAGCATCTAGGCAGGCCTGGTACAGGAGGAGCTGAGAGTTCTACATCTTCATCTGGAGGCTGCTAGCAGAATTCTGGCTTTCAGGCAGCTAGGATGAGGGTCTTAAAGCCCACGCCCACGGTGACACACCTACTCCAACAAGGCCACGCCTTCTAATAGTGCCATTCCCTGGGCTGCACATATACAAACCATCACAGCCAGCCTACTACATCATACTGTGCTCCAGGCCAGTCAGGGCTACCTAGTGAGACCCTGTCTCCAAAACAGAGTCATTGTCTAATATCTGAGGATGTCGCTCAGTTTATTACAGTATTTGTCTAGGTTACACAAAATTGGGTTCAATTCACCAGTGCTACATAAGATCAGGGGTGGTGGGCATGCTCTCAGCACTTGGGAGGTGGAGGGGCATTTAAATTCAAGGTCATCCATCCTCAGCTACATAAGTAGCAGGTTCAACACCAGTCTATAATAAATGAGTCTGGATTTTGTTTGATTTTAAAGTGGAGGCCCTTCTCTACACATTCGTTTTTCATCACAAGCTGTGGATGGTGGAAAGAAGACCAGAGACCAGTGTGCATGGCAGCACACATTTGACAAAGTGAGGGCACAACGTCCATGAGTTGAACGAGCCTCCATGTCAATAAGGCACTGTTGTCAAAGCCTTCACATCCACACACGAAATGCTGTGCATTCTCAGCCTTCACAGCAGATTCTGCTGGCCTTTGCTACTTTGTGGTTCTTTTTTCTACCTTACCTATATCCCCTGGGTTTTACCCCCCTAACACTAGATAAAAGAGAAAGAAGGATAGAAGGGAGAGTCCTTTTGTTTCTTTGAACACAACTACTAACAAACCACAACTAACCTCCCTAACAATCAACAACCTTCCTGTCTTAGTTAAGGCTTCCATTGCCAGTGAAGAGACACCATGACCAAGGCAACTCTTTTGTTGTTGCTTTGTTTTGTTTTGAGATTTATTTATTTATTTTACATATGTGAGCATACTATCACTGTCTTTAGACACACTGAAGAGGGTATTAGGTTCCATTACAGATGGTTGTGAGCTACCATGTAGTTGTTGGGAATGGAACTCAGAACTCTGGAACAGCAGTCAGTGCTCTTAACTGCTAAGCCATCTCTCCAGCCCCACAAGGCAACTCTTATAAAGATCAACATTTAATTGGGGCTGGCTTACTAGTTCTGAGGTTCAGTCTGTTATCATCATGGCAAGAAGCACGGCAGCATCCAAGCAGGCATGGTGCTGGAGAGTTCTACATCTTGTTCCAAAGACAAGCAGAAGACTGACTTCCAGGCAGCTAGGAGTAGGGTCTCAAAGCCCACCCCCACACTAACACACTATCTCCAACAAGGCTACAACTAATCCAACAAGGCCATACCTCCTAATAGTGCCACTCCCTGGACCAAGCATGTTCAAACCACCACATTCCACTCCCTCGCCCCCATAGGCTTATTCACATGAGTCTGTGGGAGCCATACCTAGCTTTAGCATAATGAGAAATACATTTAGTCCAACTTCAAAAGTCTCATAGTCTATATCAGTCTCAACAATGTTAAAAACCCAAAGTTCGAAGTCTCTTCTTAGATTCATGCAATCTCTTAACTGTAATCTCTTAAGAAATCAAAATAAAAAAGCAGATCACATATCTCCAACATCATGTAGGATATACATTATCATTCCATAATGTCATGGGGGGGGATATTGGGCCAAAGTAATACAGAAAACCATCTGGGTAAACTTCAAACTTTATGTCTCCATGTCTGATGTTAAAGCATCTTCAAATCTCCAATTCCTTTCGTCCTTGTTGACTGCTGTTGGCAGATCTGGCACTGAACAGCAACAAACTGTTCTCTTGGGCTGGTTCCATTCCCTGTTAACAGTTGTCCTTGGCAGGTATCTCATGGCTCTAAAATCTCTAACATCTTGAGGTATCCAAGGCAACTTCAACTTTACAGCATTTTGTTCCAATGTATGGGGTCCATACATAATCTTCTGGGCTCCTCCAGAGGGCTTGAGTCACTTCTCCAGCTCTGCTCACTGTAGCATTCATGTTGACTACACTCCACTGCTGCTGATGTTCTTGGTGGTCATCCCATGGTACTGGCATTGCCAATTTGCTGGGGTCTTCCAATGGAACTAGGCTTCAACAAAAGCCTCTCAGAGGCTCCCTTCATGATGCCAGGCCTCAACTTCTTTGCATGATCCCTTTAGTCCTGTGCTGTCAACTACAACTGAGGCTGTACCTTCACCAGAAGCCTTCTCTGACTTCACACAGTGCCGAGCCTCAGATGCTCTCTATGGCTCCTTCATGCCTTTAAAACCAGTACCACCTAAGTGACTCTTATACCTTACAAAGTCCAGATAGGTAAACATGAGATACAGCCTTGGCTATCTCCGGAACACACCTTCTTTGTGCTCTTAGAAAATATTTGCCAGAAGATTTCGCCTCAGTGATGCCGATCTCTCTCTCTCTCTTTTTTTTTTAAAGATTTATTTATTTATTTTATTATGAGTACACTGTAGCTAGCTGTCTTCAGACACACCAGAAGAGGGCATCCAATCTCACTATGGATGGTTGTGAACCACCATGTGGTTGCTGGGATTTGAACTCAGGACCTCTGGAAGAGCAGTCAGTGCTCTTAACTGCTGAGCCATCTCTCCAGCCCTGCCGATCTCTTCTTAATCACTGCTAATTTCATAGCTCCAGCTAACCAGCATCAATTGTCCCTCTTACTTTTGACTCTAAAGCCAGAGCCACATGGCTGAAGCTTCCAAGTTCTGCTTGCTGGTCCTGGAATATGGTCCCCTTGTTCTATTACATTATTGTCAGCTTTCTGTTTTCCAACTCCTTCATTGCCTAAGTTTGGTTGTCCTAAAACTTGCTCTGTCAATTGACCTTGAACTTAGAGATCTAAATGGCTGACTTCTGAAAGCTGGGATTAAAGGTGTGTACCACCACGCTTGGACCTGACTTGCTCTATACCAGGTTGGTTGACTTTGAACTGAGAGCCTCTGTCTCCTGGATTAAAGACATGTACTACTACTGTGCCTGAACCTAAGCTTTTCATGGCCGCTATTTCTCAAGAGCTAGATCAAAAGCCTGTGTCCTCCATTTCTGGATTGTAATTCATTCCAGATTAAAGGTCCAAGTGAAAACAATAACCAATTAATAATAAAGTCTAAAATGATACAACTATTCCGTGCTCAATGGCAAATGTATAAACAATAAGCTTAGCTGGGTGGGATATTGCCCCAAAGTCACCACTCCCTTAATTTGTTATCTCCTAGAACACAGAATTAAGCTCCGTTCCACTCTGTGGTGCCCTTTTATTACTTGAGCCATACATTTTGTATTTTTCCTTTTTCTGCTTGCTCCTTTTCATCAAAACACTCTTCATGAGACTACTCCAGAGAACAAAGTCTTTTCTGAGACTTCCTTTATCAATGCAGTTAATTGAAATCTCTTCACCTTAGCCTCAGGTAGACTCTTCAGACAAGGGCAAAAGTCAGCTATATTCTTCACCAAAATATCTCAAGAACAGTCTCTACACCACATACTGAAATTCTTCTCCACCGAAACCTCTTGGGCCAGGTCTGCACAGTTCAAATCATCCTCAGCACCAATGCCTTCCATGTTCCTTCTAGGATTGTCCTTTAAGCCCCACTTAAAGCATTCCACTGCTTCCCAAATCCAAAGTTCCCAAATCCACATTTCTTCAAAGAAAAACACGGTCAGGCCTATCTCAACAATTCAGCAATACCTTATTCCTGGTACCAACTTCTATCTTAGAGTTTCCATTGCTGTGAGGAGACACTATGACCAAGGTAACTCTTATAAGGGACAACATTTAATTGGGGATGGCTTACAGTTTCAGAAGTTCAGTCTATTATCATCACGGTAAGACGCATTGGCAGCATCCAGACAGGCATAGCACTGGAGGAGCTGAGAGTTCTACATATTGTTCTGACATCAAACAGGAGAAAACTTGTTTCAAAGCCTACTTCCACAGTGACACATTTCCTCCAACAAGGCTACACCTACCCAACAAGGACACACCTCCTAATAATGCCACTCCCTGGGCCAAACATATTTAAATTACCATACCCCCATATGCTATCAGGCCTTTAGTATTTAAAAACCCTCTGAAAAGAACGCAGAATTTCAAAAGTCACTGAATTGCAGAAACTATCTGCAGAAACTATCATGCAGAAACATCCCTCTATAGAGTGTGAGGCAAATCATAGTCAGCTGCGGTGGACAGTCTTAAACAACACCACATGCCTACCCCTGGGATTAAAACAAAAGCATAGTCTTATCACTACACACGGACACTGTCTTTGGATCTGTAGTGTACTCTTAAGGCACCTTGTAGCCAGGCAGTGGTGGCGCACACCTTTAATCCCAGCCCTTGGGAGGCAGAGGCAGGCAGATTTCTGAGTTCGAGGCCAGCCTGGTCTACAGAGTGAGTTCCAGGACAGCCAGGGCTATACAGAGAAACCCTGTCTCGAAAA